CCTAACCCCTAAACCCCTAACCCCTAACCCCTAACCCCTAACCCCTAACCCCTAACCCCTAACCCCTAACCTTTTCCTAGGTTGTGTTTGTGGCGTTGCTAACCCTTCTAAGCTGTGCAAAACATCTAGCTATTCGTGTCCGCCTAGCGGCGTCCACGATCCTCGGCCTTGGAGCTTTGCAATCTTCTGGAATGACCAAGTTGGCGGAAACGGTCTTTTTATATCTCTATGTCCGCTTTCTGCCATTTTGACCGCCTACTACTTCCGGTCTAGCGTGTCGTCATGTTGTAAATTTTAACCCCATGATTACGTCATTGTGTGATCATGTGACCAATTTTGAACGACGACTTCACCACGTCTATCTCAACCTCGCGGTCTATGTAGCTTATCTGCTCCTTTTCCTGCTAACCCCATCACATCACGTGATTGAAACCCCTACTTTCTTGGTAAGCCTCTTTACGCACTCGGTGGGCCCTAGCTAAACTCATCATACTATACCCGAAGCATGGCATATATATATATTCATCATATACTTCCAACATATATATATATATATTGGACTTGGATGTATATATTTTGGACTTGGTTATATATATCACCAACTCCCACCAACCAATCAAAGCTACCAACCACACCAACCACACCACTCCAACCGCTCCCACCAAACTCATCAAAGCTACCGACCTCACCGATCTGGCCGAGCTTATCGATCTCATCAACCTCACTAATCCGGCCACGCTAACCGATCAAACCAATTGAACCATTCGAGCCGATCAAACCGATCAAACTGTCCAAACCCATCAAACTGTCCAAACTCATCAAACTGTCCAAACTCATCAAACTGTCCAAACTGACTTGGCCTGTCGTGCCACCTTTGCCAGTCTTGCCGGCTTTGCCAGTCTTGCCGGCTTTGCCTGCCACCTGGGTCCTGGGTTTTCCCAGCTGGTCAAGCCACCTGTACCCCCTCTGACTGTGCTGTATTAATCATCTTCATCTTGTGAGCACAGCCATCCTACCTGACTGGGCTACTTGATCTAAATTCTGGACTGCATGTGGTACGGCCTCACCGGATCCACGGTTCACATCCGGTTGGGACACGGCGGGATTGGTATGGTTCGGAAGCTTAAGCGGCACCGGTGGCCTTTACGGACGGGGTTAGCGTTGTATGATGACTACCACCAACCGTGGCACGGCTCTGTGACTCTGGATAGTGGGTGATCCTCTTCCAAGTGAATTGCGCCGAAGCTGGATTCATTCCTGGAACTCCGATAGCGGGTCAGCATCTTCCAAATGACCTGTGCCGAAGCTGGATTCCTTCCTCGAACTCCAATAGCGGGTTATCCCTCTTCAAATGGTCTCTATATCTAAGCTGCCTCGATGCGAAAAGCCCTGATAGCACCCCCTTTGAGATTGGAATTGTAGTCTTTGCATATGTTATCTGGTGATATATATATCTTGGATGCTTCTTGACTCCCTGGGGGGAGTGAGCCTAGTCTTCTTGCTAAGTTCTACCTGGCTATGTGAGAGCATGGGGATAGTGGGATTGTGAGTATCTCTACTCGGTTGATCTAGATTGGGAAACTGAGCTGGATCCTGAGCATGATGGGGATCGGGTGTAGCAGCTACTGGCGGCGGGAATTGGAGTGGGCGGGGAGAGTAATATGATATTGTAGTACGGGGGGAGATGTTGATACTCTCTGGCCTTATTGATCTTAGATAGCAGTGGTGGTCTTACAGTATAATCTGGGGCAGTCTGGACGAGAGATCTATGCTGCCCTGGTAGGGTAGGTCGGTGCTACTGGGATTCGAAGAGGATCTCCAACCGTGTCGACAGGAGGCCTCCGTGGGATAATCGAAAGACGATCAGACGGTAAGAGTGGCTTTACGGTGGGTCTAGCAGATGCAGGCGGTGAGGTGGGGGGAAAAAATCAAACGGATTTGATGGAAACTGCGTGCGAGTGGGGACAGATGGGATTAAACTACCGAACGAGATAAGGAGATACAAGCAGCAGAGGAAGTCGGATCAGACGGTTCAACGGCGTCGATCCAGGCGCGCCGGAGCCAGGCGTACTCGCGCACTAGATTGATGTACACCCGGTCGGTGGACAGCTGCGAAAGCCACCGGATAAAGCCCTTGGGATTGCCTTCGGGATCCTCAGGCGCCACGCGGGTGAGCCAGCGGTGACGGATCGTGTCCGCGTGGTCTGCGAAGGGGGTGGCTGCAAAATCCGCAAAGAGCATCATGGCCAGATGGGACAGCACGGCGCCTTTCAGCGGGCAGGTGCTGTATTTGCCCGTCGGATACAGTTGCGGTGGGAGATAGCAGCGGAAACAACCGGTGCCGGGCTGGAGCTGGATCTGGCTGCGCTGGTCCATGAACTAGGTCCGGGCAGGTCGGTTGACCGGGTTGGTGCACTGGAAGAGATCGTGGCCGATGTGGGGGGCATCGCCCTGGGCGCAGGTCCAGCAGAGAGGTTGATTCCAGTGCTGCAGTTGATCTCGGATGAAGTCCCCGTCAGGATAGCCCCGGGTGGGGGTTGGGGTGATGGACATACGCGGTGGGGGGGAGGAACTGGACGCGGTGGGGAGGAGGCTACGGGCGCTGGTGAACGGGGATGGGATCGACGGCGGCGCGGGTCGGGGCCTCGGGGGGAAGAGTGCGGACGGGCGGGCGGTCTGGGTCAGCGGGGTGTAGGCGCGCACCGGGCGGGGGGAGGGGGGCAGGGCAACGCCCGGCGAGGGCGCCGGGGGGGAGTGGGGCCGCTTGCGGGGCGTGACGGTGGTGCTGGCGGGGGTATACCTGACGATAGGGGGCACCGAGGCCCGGGTGGGGGTGGTGGGGGCCCCCGGGGGGGCGGCCCTGGGCAGGGGGGACCGGGACGTCCGGGGGGTCTCGCTCTTGCCGGCCATGGCCGGGAGCACAGGCATCTCGGATTGGATGGGCGATGCCGGGCTGCTCAGCGCCAACACCGGGGAGGGGGAGACGGACAGGGGCGAATGGGGGGGCTTTGCCGCCACAGACTCGCAGCGATTACACCGTGCCTCGGTAGGGTCCTCATCCTGGCAGGCAACGCGGGTATATCCGTCCACGGGGCCGTCCAGGTAGTGATCCAAGGCCTGTCGGCGACACGGGGCCGTCATGTACGTGTACACGGCCTCGAGATCATGATCCTCGGTGCCGCGAAGGAGGTGCCCGGCGGGGGCGTGACGGAAGGGGTGGATCAGGATCGCCTCGCTGGGAGCCAAGTCTCGACCGGCGCGGCCACTTTCCTGCGAATAGTCGACCATGGTCCGGGGCTGCTCGACGTGGATTACCAGGCGGATGTCGGGGATATCCAGACCCAGGCCAAGTGCATTGGTGCTGACCAGCTTGCCGTGAGGGTCGGCCTGGAAGGCAGTCAGGATCTGATCCTTCTTCTCCTGGTGGGCATAGTACACCGGACATTCGAGGATGCGCGCCAGAGACTCGGCGGCGGGGATGCTGCAGCAGTACAGGATCGTCTTGCCGACGGTGACTTGGGCCATGGCATCACGGATGAGCTGCAGGACGGTAGGATCCTCGGCGATCCCAACGTGACTCTGGGACTGCGCCGGAATCTCAGGACGAAAAACCCGGTAGGTCACATTCGGTCGCGTAGTCCGTTGCCGGATCACCAGAGGTTGCTTCCCCGGGCGATAGATGCGAGTGCAGAAACGGTCCATCTTCGCAGGGGGCAGGGTGGCCGTCAGATACAGCATCGGCGCGTCCACCTCGGCCAGCTCCCCTAGCCGAGGAAGGAGAGGGCGGAAGTTGTCACGCGGATTCAGGATCACATGGCACTCGTCGATCACGATCCGATCGAGTCGGCGGAATGACTTGAGGCGGTGCAGGTGGCCGCGGAACCGGTCTGTCATCGCAGCCTCGCACGTCACAAGGAGAATGCTGGCGTCGGAGTTGGGTTTCTGACTGTCCCAGATCGCGCAGGAGAGGTCAAGACTGGCACATCGGTGGGCAAGATCGGCCCGGAGGGCCAGGAGGGGCACGACGACCACGGTGACCCCGCCGGAGCCAACAAAGGCCGGGAGCATGAAGAGCAGGCTTTTGCTGCTCCCGGTGGGCATGACGGCGACGATGGAACTGTGGCCACTTTGGATCGCGTCGAGGACGGTACCCTGGATCCCACGGAAGGCAATCGGTTTCCGCATCAGATGCTCGGCCTCGGTGGCTATGGACGTGAATTGGATCTTCCTCAACCGAGCGGCCTGGCGCTCCGAGGCCTGGGCCTCCTATGGTGCGGTGGGATCCTTTGACCCAGCGGATTGGACCGCGCTGGTGAAGCCGAGGAACCGATGCCAATCCGTGCTCGATCGCCGGAACAGTTGGCGACGATGGGCCGTGGTGCCGGGCTGCTCGTCTATGGAACGTCCGTAGGTGGTGCCGGCGATGTGGGAGGAATGCGCGGCCTGGAGGTCGAGGATGTGCGACATCCAGGCGTCCGGATCCAGATTCATATTCGGCTTCGCCATGTCATCCGGATCATGCTCCTCCTGGCTTTTGTCGTTGGGGAAATGACTCGAGGCCTGGAGGTACCGACGGCTGATACCAATCGTAACATCTCGATAGTCATGGATATTGAGCACCTGCCCGTTGAGATATTTACCGGTTGCGTCTTGGAGGTGTTTGCGAACACGCCTGTCGTCCCAACTACCGCCGTTGGGGTCCGTAGGCCAAAGATAATCCATTCGTTCACTGCGAGCTGTTAGCTACAGTAGATGTAGGATATAATGTAAGCGTAATCGGTGGAGATTGAGGGATCAGAATAAGCCAGTGTAGATGGCTGATCGAGATCTCCTCGGTCCAGGAGCGTGGGATGTTCACTTAGTAGGATTGTTGCAGGATTGGGGGAAAGGGAAGGTAGGGAGATGGGGCAAAACTGACCGTTTCGGAGGGATCTGGGTTCGTGCATCTCGACTTGTCTGCAGGAGATCCGCGAATGGGAGCACCAGCCAAAGATACCAGACCACCAGCTCGCCAACCTCCCGGGGGAGATATCGATGGATGAGCTTCACATCGTTGGAGAATTGATATCCTTTGTGGTAGCGGCTGACGAGGGCAACCAGACTGTCCTCGATGAAAAGGTTGCGAACACCCCCCGCCTGAGTATTCCGATGTCGGAGACTCAGCAGCTCGGTGGCTCGGGCAGGTTGGCCCGCATACAGGTGGATCAGGATCGCCAGCTGTTCACGGAACTCGACGACCCGGTCAAGGTATTGGTCTGTGGCGATGGGCGAGAGCTCTTTGCGCCTGACGGTGAAGAAGCGTTGCCGGTGCGTGGGAAGATCAGTCACCTGGTTAAAGAGCCACACACGGCCGTCGACCGGCCAGACAGTTGTGTCGTGCGTGAGGAAACTGTATTGCACCGCGGTGTTCGAGGGGTCGTCGTAGAGAGTGTCCCATGGGATGGCAGGGATGGTCGAACGGCCCCGAGGGTCCTGGAGGAGCAGATGGTGGACCAGCCGATAGCGGACATCGGCGGAGATCTGATGCACACAGGTGGTGAACTCCGACATGGTGAAGTTCAGCTGCTTGTACAGCAGTCGGTCGGTCCCGGTCCAGGAGATATGGCCGGGTTTGGTGCTCTGGGTGAAGGCGCTGCGGCCGTAGGTCCGGAGGTCGATCATCCATTGCATCGGGCTGGATGTGCCACGGATCAGATAGCGCTGCACCAGGTGCTGGATCTGGCGGATTGGGGTCAGCTCGGGTTCTCGGTCCGCCTGCCGGATGATGTCCTCGAGGCTGGCCGCGGGCTCATCTTCCCTGGGCGTAGCGGCCGGGACGTGAAGCTGCAAGGCCTTCTGAACGATCATGAACCGTGCGATTTTGATCACAGAAGACAGGATGGGAGGGTATGAGTCTATTGTCAACCACCCGGAGGCACCGAGGCCGAGGACCGCGAGCGCGTCCACCAAGGTACATTCATATTCATCCGCAGCGGCGTTCTGGAGCAGTAGCGACACGCAGAAATCCAGGCAGGCCTGGGGTAGTGGAGGTAGTAACGGATGCGCTGGCAGAGGCTTCCCAGGCGGGGTTGGGGCCGGGCTAGGGGACTGCGTGGGGGGAACACTGGGGGCCTGCGTGGCGGCTTCGTAGAGTTGGTCCCACGCGCGTCGCTGGGTCGGCGTGAAGTGGAACCTGGGGCCTGAGGAGTGGCCGTGGGGGCCGTTGCGGAGGAAGAAGAGCAGGATATTCTCCCAGGGCTCACAGTGTCGGAGTAGGGACTCGAACTGAAGGTATGCCTCTAACGGCTTGGCGGGCTGTTTCTCCCGTTCCGTGCGAGTGATCTCGAGACGGATCATCCGTCCGCTGGCGGCAGTTGCTTGCTGGCTCGCTCGGGCAGCGGCATGCAGGGCAGAACACAAGGCGTTGGCGATGTGGGCCTGGGGCCGGGGGTCATCGGCGTCTGGGCGTTGGATCGACGTACGGAGGTCCGAGAGGGATTGCCCAGCTAGATATGCCGACCAACCGGTGCGACGGAGCCAGGGATTCGCATCGTCGTACTGGAGGCGCTGAACCTCTGGTGCAGGCACCGATCGCGCTGTGAGCGAGGCTCGAAGCTGCGTCACCAATGCTGTGAGGGGATCGGCAGGACTGGCAGGATCGGCAGGATCGGCCTCATCCCAGGCGCCGAGACGCTCCAGGAGTATAAAGTGCGAGTCTCGGGAGCTGGCGAAGATCCGGCAATAACGAACAGGCTCGGTAAAGGGCAAGTGACGGGGCCCTTGAGCACTTGGGGGCGGAGGACCATCGTCGGGCCGGACAGCGTGGTCTCGGAGGAGATCCCGGTGCTGTTGATGCCGGTGTTTCCGCATCGTGGACTCGGTGGCGGTGATGTGTGCACAGCGTGTTGGGTCGATGGTGCAGAGGATGCCTACTGTGTCCGGGATGACCGCGAGGCAAGCCGGGTCGAGGGCGGCAGGCACCACAAAGTCCTGACATTCGTGGATCTTTGGCCATCCGAGGACGGCCTGTTGGATGGCACTGGCCTTGGGACCTGCCATGAGATGCTGCGGGTTCATGAGGTGGGTACGAATGGTATTCGGACGAACGCCAATCTCGCAGCGCACACAGACAATGACCGGTAGGTTGGGCATGCGGGTGAAGATTTGGTGTTCCATAATGGATGTTTCTCGTAGATAGGAGGGGGATAGGGATTGCAAAATAGACTCGGGAGGAGTGAGCCTTTTAACTCCCCAACATGGACCGAGGATGGTGGAATTCCGATGTGTGTCGAGACAGATGTGAGCTGTAGTAAGCTGAAGATACTGGGCTCCACTGCCCGTGTTGGATGCCAATCGCGGGTCCCTCGGCGGCAGGGGAATGCTTATACTGTGTTCCAGCCGGAGTGGGCGCAGACGAGATAGGCAGGATCAACGGAGAGGGTAAGGTGATCCAGACTGGAGTATCAGCTATGGCGGGGATTGGCGGATCGTGGCGCTTTGAGACAGGCCTTGACGGCGGTTGGATCAGACTCGCGACTAACATCGATCTTCTAGGGGGAATTCGGTCCATCCCGGGTAGAGGGTACAGCAGGGTAGGATAGGAGACTGATACGGGTTCTAATCGTGAGGCTGCAGTCGAGGTCATATTGACGTCCCACCTGTCATCGGGTGCATCTCTGCGGTCCATGCTGGTCCCCCGGGGTCTGGCTTCTGTCGTCCAGATATCACGCATGTTGCTGATCCTCCTGGTAATGTGCTGGCCAGAGGAAGTGCGTCGGCAATAACAGGACGATGGATTGGGGTGGCATTGCTGGCAAAGCCAGTCAAACTGGTATCGGTATTGGTGGTATCAGTACCCGTTGCGTGGGTAAGGAGGTCAGCTGAGCCACCTGAGCCAACCAAACCAACCGAACCAACCTGACCAACCGAACCAGCCTGACCAACCTGATCCATCAACCGCACCAAGCAAAGGCAGCCAGCCGATCACTATATTGGACCTTATCCCCACCTGGCTCGGGGACGTCAAAATCGATCGTTCACATCGACTGTCGCGTGTTCTCGGTCGCATTCACGCGGTCAGTGGCGTCGTCTGTGTTGCTCTTGGCACCCCCTTTTCGACCGGAGTCCGTGTCAACAACAGGTCGCGATGGAGGAACGCGCTGGGAATTTAGGCTGGTGCTGGCAAGGGACCCGCTCAACACCACCGCAGGTCTGGACGTGCGTGTGACCTCGATCGGGAGAGGGAGACCGACTGACTGCGATGTAGGGAGCCCCAGGCGATCTGTCACTGTCATCCCGCCCAGCAGTGGCCTTGCGAGCACGCCCAGTTGGTATGTGAGGATCGACGGGACGCGACACGGTCTAACCGAGCGCCTAGGCGATCCCAGCATGCATCCGAGAGTGTCCGTACTGCAGTTTTGTCTCGAGGGCCGCCGTGGGTGTGGGGGGGATTGTGCGCAAGCACATCAGGAGGGTACATCTGGTATGTTTCCCGCAAGACGGTTTCTCAGTGGGGATACTGACGACCCTCGTAGAATGCTGGTAATCCCAACTACCCTGGCCTGGAGATTCTACAGGGGCACAATGCCAAATAGTAAGTGCCTTTGACATACGACGAGAGATCCGTGCTGAGGTATCGCAGCGTCCACAAGACTCGGACTACATTCCAGGGAGAGTTGGATACAGATGCGGGATCAGAGGGAGAAGCAGTCCCACCTCGAGCGTCCCGGGGGGATTCACGGAGCAGGAGCACACTGGAAAGACCCGTCCGCGACGCCAGGAATCGAGTGAGCAAGCCAGCGCGCCGCAAAACCCCCATGCCCCGTGCGCGAAGTCGGCCGATCGAGTCTTCCGACCATTCTCGGGAGGGGACGGAGGAACCAGACGCGTCGAGGATCTCCCAGCCTCAGGCCTCGAAGGAGACGGGGACTCGGCCTCGATCGACCGGCGAAGCGGACACGATGATCGACCAGGAGGAACCGGATGGATTGGATAATACGGCCGAGGCAGATCCTGGGGTGGACACCCAACGCAGTCGGTGTGAGTCCATCCCCTCCGAGATGGGGGACTCGTTGAACCTGTCCCAGCAATCCCAGATCTCCGTGGAGGTGCCACAGGTGGGTCGAGCGACGAAGCGAGGTCAGACCGATGGGGAGGGGAGCCAGGATGCGTCCGATGGAGCAAGGCTGGTCGAGAAGGGCCAGACGGCTAAGGAGGTTTCATCCATGACCTTGAGGCGCCGAGCGCAGTGAATTCGATGCCACGGTGGTCTGGCGTGCATATCTTGGCGACACCAGTGTGTAAGACTTAGTGAGAAATCAAGTTGATTCCTGGATCCGGTTCAAAGGAGATCTCATCATGGCTAGGTAGACAAGATGGACGTGGACGGAGATCTGGCAGGGCAGCCAGCATGGTGTGTAGGATTCTTTGTAGGGCAGGTGAGTGTGGTCCTAAAGTCAAAGGCAGTCTAGGCTGATCGGTTGATAGGAATCAGCCAACCCGGGAGGGATGGAAGACGATGTTTCGAAAACGCCAAGGACTCTGGTCGCATGACAGGGTCTGCAGAAAGAACTTGGCGTTTCGGATGTGGTTAAAGACCTCGTGGTTTGAAAGGGGACTCGGTGGTCTTCGAGTTATTTCGAGGATCATATCTGGGAGTGTGGAAGACCCAACAAAGGGTGTTTATTCGGGAACGGACGATCAAAGGAAGGCAGGAATAGCAACATGGTCTGTCAACCATATATGCTCCACGCTACGATGGTAGCTACGGGCTATATAAACCGGCATGGATCCCGACTGTAGGATCAGTATCCCTCGCATCTTTGACAATCATCACAGAGTTTCAGTAACCTCGATCGATCTCACACTTACCAAGTTACCCAGAGACTACCACCATGACAGACGCTGGACCGGTAATTCCCTGTGGAGCCCCAAAGGCGCTGCTGTGGCAGTCGTTGGTAGCGGCACCAACTGTGGGAGCCAAGGGAGTAAAGGGAGTAAAGGCAGCAAAGGCAGTAACTGTAGGAACAGCGGTATCGCAACGACCCCCGGTCTGGACAGAGTGAGTTGATTAGGTTCTACGGTACGTGGAGGATACTAACATCGTGTAGGATAAAACGAGTTGTGTGCCATTGTTCTATGTGGATGGAGCACTAGATCTACTGGCCGACGCAGGACGCGATAGTAGTAAGTGAGAATACCTCGGTGTGGATGAACCCGGCTGACTTGCCACAGCGAATCCTCACATGTATGAAGATATGCCCGTATTGCGATTTCCAACCGGCTGCTGGGACCAAAGGCCAGAACTGTGCCGGATCGATTCGGAAGCATATCAAGAACATGCATATTCGGGTATGCTATGGTGGATCGGAGTCTTGGTTGACATGCTAACGGGACCCTTTAGAAAGAGGCAGTGAAATACCGAAACCTATATGTCCGGAATGAGAAGGGACCAACGAAGTGAGTATGCCATCTCCGTCCCGAGCAGTGGGTGATAACTAGATACTGATCTCATGACAGTGAATCTGTGGGGACTGTGGAGGGCGATGGGATGTCCTCGGCGTCGAGCCTGTACTCCGACGATGACGGAACCCCTGCGTTGGGGAATAAACGGCCTCGGGATGAGCTGGAGGCAGATGGTAGTCGTCGGAGGGTGAAGCGACGAACAATCCCAAGAGACCAATGGCTGCCCAAGACTGATGCCGTATTGACAATGTTTGCCCGGGAGAATGAGGGTGACATCCGCGGGTGGAGAGTGGGCGATCGTTGGAGCTCTAAGCTGGAGGACATATTCCGGGGATGGCAGCAGGATCTCATGGCGAGGAGTGCCGAGGTGGCTTTGAGTACTGCCAAGGTGGCCAAGAATACTGGTCGGGGTGCTGCTAAAGTGCCTGTGAAGACTGGTAGGGGTGCTATGGTTTCTGATGCTGAAGTTAATGAGGCTGCTGCTGCTCTTGCGGAGGCCGAGGTTGCTGAAGAGGCTGAGGCTGCTGCTGCTCTTGCGGAGGCCGAGGCTGCTGAAGAGGCTGAGGCTGCTGCCGCTCTCCCAGCTTAGACAGCTCTGGCTCAGGCTCAGGCTGCTCTTGGGGCTCTTGAGGATGCTGAGGCTGATGCCGCTGCTCAGGCTTTGCTGGCTGATGAAGCAGCTACTGCTGCTGCGAATACTCCTCAAGCTAACGCTACTGCTCTCGAGGCTCTTAACGCTGCACGTGCTGAGGTAAAGGCTACTGCTGCCGCTAACTTGGCTCGTGCTGCCCTTGCAGCCAGGCGCCCAGCTACACAAGCAGGGATACAGATTGCCATGAACCCTGCCTTTACTAAGGCTCCAGCCACACCACCAAGGACACAGAACGTTAAGACTGGTCTTCTGACCCCCAAGATTGGTAAGCAGGTACGCCCTGCAGTAGAGGGGGAGGGAGCCTAGTGGTCCTTAATGAGATTAGGTATCAACCTTGGAAGTGAGCAGTGTGGATAGACAGTCTGGGTGGTATTGCTTTGGTTTTAGTGATTTATTCGGTCAAGGTGGGAGATTGTTTATTATAGAGGAGGATATTGATTCGATGTTGGTGTTTGATTTGTGCTTGCGTTCTGCTGATCCTGCTGGAAGTGCTGATTCTACTAGCTTTGCTGATCCTGGCTATATGGATCGTTGGTTATAGATATATGATTTTGATATGATGTTTACTGTTCTGTGTTTTATGTAAATGAGATGATATTGCCAGTATTGCTACCTGAGAACATTCCAGAACAAAACTCTTGCTCCATCCAGGCTGATGTCTCATCGTTAAAAGCATCGGAGCTGGGGCAAGGGGTCATAGGAGAGGTTGGCACCAAGATATTAGGCGCTGGGGAGGGATCAGGGGGATGGGACTGGAGGGTAAGTCGTTCGGCTTCCAAGAGATCGTCAAAGGGGAGCTCTGAAGACATTTCCCACGAAGATACTGGAGGCACTTGGTCCACAGGGGGACTGTGAGGTTCCGGCGGGATTGGAAGGATCGAGGGGATGTCCGATGTCTCTACGTCCGAGGATTGGTCATCCTTGTTGGTCAAAAGATTACTGCCGAGTTAGCTGAAAGATC